GAGCAAAGTTAAAAATTGTATATGGTGCCATATGTGATGATATGTTATTAGAAAATAACTTTTACATTATTAATTATTATAGAGGGGGCAAAAAGCATAATTTTGAGGGTAGAGACGAATTATTTTAAAAAAATTGTAAAAGTCAATGGCAAGTAACACTTTTAAGTTCGACCTCATTCTAGATATGACGTGACCTTCTCCATCTCTCCACCCCCTAGACCAGTGATTCTCAACCTTTTTTTCTTCATGGTACACTTTTAATAATTTAAAAATTTGGCAGGACACATGGTTACTTCGGTAAGTACTGCAGGGCAACTGGTGATGTCATAACTGATTTTTAAATGCAGTTGGTTATTTAGGTCACATTTTCTAAATGCCTTGGTAACTATTGGCAGTTACTGGTGACACCAATTACAATTTCCAGTTGCACCCTAGGAAGGTAGAACCAATTGAACTACTTGTCTGATGTCGCTTATGTATGGGCATTTGCAGTGCGGCACATCTCAAAAATCTCGCGTCACTTTGCACAGTGGTTGAGAATCACTGCCCTAGACTTTTAACCACCAAAATTTAATGGCATTGATGCATCTTGTATACAAATTATCATGTCAAATTTCATTATTTATTCTTTACTGCATTCTGAGATATTAAACAAAATAGATGCCAACACAAATATACATGTCTATTTTTTCCTGTTTTTTGAGTTCAGAATATCTGAAAACATAGAGATTTTCCAAAAAATTGGAGGGTCAAATTTGACATGATTTCAGTATTTTTCCGTGTTATATATTTATTTATTTATTAAATGGGGGTTAATGATCACACTCATTAGTATAGCTATAAGGAAAGAGGAGGGGAGAGTGGAGCGAAGTGGAGTAGAGGTGGAAAATTGTTGATAGAGTATAGTGGAGATGGAAAATAGGCTCGTGTTCTATAAATAACAGCCAGAAAAGTGGTGTTTTCATTTTAATCAGAATTTTTTTCTCGTGTATAAAGGGAATTTTTAAAAATTTTGGTGAGCAATAGCCTAAAAGAAAAGGTTAGATGATCATGAGGTGTATTCTGGAACATGAAAGTGAATAAAAGGTGATTTTTTTTATGGACTTTGTCATAAATTATTTTTAAACAGCTAATGATTTTAGTCCTAGTTTCATTGCATCTGAATGATGTAAATGTAACAGCTTTGAAAATCATTTTTAAAGGATTCATGCTATCCTCAGTTCTGAAAAAATGAATTATTGAATGTTTAATGGAGCTTGAATAAGAAAATAAAATTTAAATTTACTTTTCAAGTTATCAAAAAATTTAATGAATAAAATAGTAGAATCAATTTTTAAACATACTTAAAAATAAAATAATAGTTTTATTTTTTTTGTAAATTTGAAATATTCTAAATCCAATGACTAACTTAAAAACAAGAAATAACTAAAAGTGTGGAATAATATTTGCAATGCTAAGAACTGAAAATGATTTAAAATTAGTGAATTAATTTGATTCCAGATATTTCGTTGTCGTTCCCGTAGATTATATAATATGCATGTATGTTGGATGTTGTTTAGGAACAAAATTTTAATGAGAAAATTCAATTGATATTTGGACCATGTTATATGAAAAAGACTTGGTTTTATTTTGTGATAACATTAATACATTTTACTTAAAATAATACACATAATACAGTGAAATCTGTATGAAGTGGAATTACACTGGGGCAAATTTTTTTCACCAGAGACACCTGTTTATTCAGTAATGAATATGACCACCATGGACCATTATACTGTATGGTGAGGCATACTATCAATGAGGTGATTAATAGCTGCATGATGTATCCCTTGCCAAGCTGCATCCACTGTAATGTGCATGTCATCTATGGTATATGGTGGTGATCCCTGGTGCACCTCACATTAAACAATGTCCCACAGGTATTCAATGGGAGAGAGATCTGGCAAGGCTGCTGGCCAGGGAAGGGTATGAATTTCATTCAGGCTGCTGAGAGTTTGCCTTGCGACATGCAATTGGGCATTGTCTTGCTAAAACACTGTAATTGGGTGCAGCCTGCACCAGTGGCCGAACCACAGACCCTCCACAATTCATGTGGCATACTAGTCTGCTGTCTAGAGTACCAGAAATGTACATGAGGGCTGTGCTGATTGAACATAATGCCTCCTCAAACCATAATGCCTGGTATGGGGATGCTCGGCATAAAGGGTTGGCACGCATCATTCCCCAAGATAACATCACATCCATCCATAGTCGTCATTCCTCTACAGACAGAAGCTGGATTCATTTTTAACAATACCTGATGCCATTCAGTTGTCTAGTTGCAATGATGACGACACCATGCCACGTATTCATCCCTCTATCAGGTGGTTAATGGCACCCACATTGTTGGTGTCATGTATGCAGCTCAACCTGTTGAGAATGGTTTGGATGGACACACATGGATTCATTGATAATGATGGGTAGCTTCCAATCATGTGCTGTGGGGAATGGGTCCTAATAGGTTACCTGATGAATCTGCTGGTCTGTGCTTTCTGTTGTATGCCACTTCCTCTTCAGCATGTTCACAGATTTTTCTGTGTCTATCGTGTTACATATTGCTGGGTGGTACTCACATCATGCCTAACACGTGTGGCAACTGTATGCATTGACAAACCAAGGTCATGTAACACCAGGATATGTCCTTGTCCCCTAGCTGTTAGCTGGTGATATTCAGCTTGCTGTTATCTCAGGCATTTTGTATGCTTCTTTGAAAGTTCAGTTGCCATGAACTGTTGCAATAGCATTTACAGCCCGAGCTAGCTGCTGGTCTTTATAGCCTAAAACTGAGTAACACATGACCTCATGCATATGCAAACTTAATTATTTGCATATCTCTGTCACCTGTACCAGTCTTGCAATATGTATGTGGCTATGCACATTCCTTTGTGGTGTTGCAATTTCACTTTTGAGGAGTGTATTTGTTCACAAGTGGAATCTTAAACTTCTATTTTATTCAGATTATGTTCTTTGTGCCCAGAGTCATCTTTCATTTCTGCATTAGACAGGTTTCTTGCTTACGGTAAAATGTAACAAAATATTGCTGTGTTTCAAAGTTTTTTGTGTAAACAGGTTTTATTTTATGCAAGTTTGTTTCAAACAGATTTTACTATATTATGTGTTACAAATATAAGTAATTACATTGGTGTCACCTTTTTAAAAATATCATGTCTGAAAATGTAATTGATGAAATATAATTATTTAACATCATAATTGGCCACTGCATCATCCATGCCATCTACCAATTTTTTTTGTAGATTTTTAAAAACACTTTTTATAAAATGTAAATTAGTACTCTAAATATTTTCTAAACCAAGAAATCTGACTAAATTGTCCAAAAAACAAAAGTTTTAAAGACAGATATCTGTGGTTTATTAATGAAATCGAAGGCAGACCGATTCTATCAAAGTTTACTTAGGAGACATCATATATGCACCATATATCCTTGCCGCGTCGCATGTGTGCATCCTCCTTTAGGGGCAGGAGGCTCTGATTAACGATACACGAACTTCTGATGCAAACCTGAAGTCACGTTATTTCAATTTAAAACTTTTCCCTTGAAAGTAGTTAATAGATGACCGGCATGACTCTAGGCAAGCCACTACTAATTTGAGATGGAGAGCATATATTTTAAATGAAAGATATGATTAAAAAATGCAGCCTGGCATTTGACAATGTCACAATACACACAATTGCTCGTTTATTGTGACATTGTCATAATGCCAGACTGCAATTTTTAATCATATTTTTAATTGATTTAATCTAAAACAACGCTCTCCATCTCAAATTAGTAGTGGCTTGTCCCCTACACCAGTATTTCTTAATGGGGCTGCGGCCCCCTGGGGTCCATAAAAAGTTTGCCGGGGCCGCCAAATTATGCAAAATTTCCTTCAGAATATGATAAAAAGAAAATTGATGTATAACCGAATATCGTATTGAAAAGTGAAATAAGAAAGATAAAGTTTTCGTATTTACTTTTTTTATTTATTTATTTCTTTCTTCCTGTATACAACTTTGTTAGTACAGAAGAAATAAATGCAAATATGCTACTTACACCGCAGTATGTACTGATTTTATTTCAAAGTAATTCTAAGAAACTATTAATGCTTGGAATTTTAAAAATAATTAGGAAAAATAGTAGGCTTTGAAAATTTAATGTTTTGCAAAAGATATGCAAAATCTTTACGACAAGTTGTGGGTGTTTTAGTTTAGTTTTAGCATCGACTTTGGATCGAATAATAGTTTATTTTATTTTTTGTTAAAAGTTAATGAGTTTTTATGTTTAATTGTGAAGTTTGAATGTTATTTAAGTAGATAATGAAATAACGTTTTACGTTTATTATATAAAAAAATAAAGCGATAATAGAAAAATCAGTTTATTATAGATAATTTAACAAATATAAATTATTAATAAAAAATGGGGGTCACAAGAAAATTATGAAATATTTGGTGGCCGCGAGTATAAAAAGGTTAAGAGAGAAGCCCTTGACAGGGAGAAATGGAAGAAACTTATTAGAGAAGGAAACGCTGACCCCATATAAATATGGTAAAAAGCGAGGATAAAGAAAGAAAAAAGCTGTTCACATGCTTTAACAAACTTGTGTATATTAAGTTTCCCTTGTATATAATAAGTACAATAAAGTTTTATTACAGTATTATTATATTTACTATAAAGGCCTAAACTTCATTGTATCTATATGTTTTCTTCTATTGTGTGTTATATACAATACATATTTCATTGTTGATGCTTAAAAAACTCTGGTCATAGCAATAATACTCGTGTTGACCCTGCTTGATTTGCATACATTATGTGATGTCTCGTATGCAAACTACGACAGAATCGATCTTCCCTCGATTTTAAATTATTATTAAATTACATTTCGATATTTCAAATTTTACATATTATGTAAAATTGGAAATATAGAAATGTAATTTAATAGTTATTAGTGTGTTTCTTTGTGTAGGGAGTGTTGAGTCTGGCATACTTATCGACGATTCAAGTGTACGTTCTCATAAATTATACGGCATTCATAGAAGCTCTGTTCGTAATGTTTTCTGTAGGTGGAATGCTGTGGTTAAGGATAAAACAGCCCCACATGGAAAGACCCATCAAAGTATAATTTTGTTTTAAATTTTTTATATAAATTTCTAGTATAATTTAACAAAGTATTCAATTATATTTTGTAGATTAATCTAGCAATTCCAGTCATATTCATGATCGTTTGTATATTTCTGGTGTTTCTGCCATTTTACGTTAGTCCATGGGAAACGGGTATAGGCATAGCCATAACCGTCTCGGGAATTCCTGTTTATTTTTTAACTATATATTGGAAAGATAAACCGAAAATGTACAAGAAAGTAATCGGTGCGTATTTTCATCTTTATATAATCATTTTGATAAAACTGTGTTTTAAATTTTCAATTTTTATATTTCAGCTTGGATTACTTTGATTACTCAAAAATTATTAATAAGCGTGGAACAAGAAGGAAAAGTAGAATGAAAAGTTAATTTTACGATACAATTTAAAATTTTAAACTAAACTTAAAAGTAAATGACGATTTCTAGCACACGCACTACCAAAACTTACTTCGTTATGGTGTAAAGTCGGAAAGTTTTATCTTACGTCACTGTCGTTCCGTAGAATTTTTAATGTTTATAACGACGACACTCAGTAGTGGAAATACTCGCCACGGGACATTTTGTTTTATTGGAGAATTTTCTATTCTTATTGTTCGGTGTATTTTTGAATTTTCTTTTTTCTGCCTATGGCATTCATTTTTAATATCTTCTGAAGTCATTCGTAAGTACTCTTCTATTTACACTTCGTATCGTATTCGTGTGATTTTTTTTAAATGCGAAAGAAATCACGTGCCTTCGAGAGAATTTCGGAGCGAGCCGGCAATTGGCGTCTTTCTACCAGTCTACGTAGGCCTACTTTTATTTACTTGAAGTGTTATATTATTTATTTTGCTGCTAATAAATAATACGTAATATAATACTTTTAACAAACAGCGTCTAATTAATAATCCTAAGTAAAAATGGTGCCGAAAATTGTATTATTCGTTTACCTACGTAAATAACAAAGGTTTAACGCAGCGATACCGATCTATTTGTTTTCTTGTCCATTTTCACGAAATACGAAAGTTTTAATTGGTTGGATTTTAGTGGCCGCGATTTGCAGCAATATATGAGCCGTTGATTTTGAAAGTGGGGTAAGTCCATTTTATGTTGTTGCTATATATTTAATGGTGTGCATTTGAATGGGTTAAAAGTATTCGTAAGCAGTAATAGACTTATTTTATGTTTTTTTTTTTTTTGGTCTTATTTCATGTAAATTTAATAGGCAATAATGGTTATCCGTGGTAGGTGAAAAAATCATCATTTTGTTATGTGCCAATGGACTTTCCTCAATTTCAAAAGCAATGATTTGTTGAAAACGTTGATTTTTTTAATGGAATATAATTATAACAACAAAAAATTGAATATTTTATTTATTTACTTATTTATTTTATTTCAACATTTCGTACTTTTTTCGAAAAGCTACAGTAAAACGAAAAATAAATTTAATTTTATAGGAAAAAGTGGATAAAATAAGAAAAATATTCAGTAATTGCATGCATACAATTATATTTCTTAGTTCAAATGGTACAGATTTTTAAAGTATTTATAATGAATGGGTAGTTTACGTAAGGTAATAAATCCATAATATCATTATATTTTTCATAATTTGAACATTGTAAAATTTGAACACAAAAATTGTAAGATTATATTTTTCTTTAGAGTAGACTTGCCTTACTTTCAAAATCAACTCTCAATAAATATCGTTGACGATATAAATTACTAGTAACAAATTTATACTGATATTATAAGATATTTATTGTGAATTGATTAAAAATTTATGTAAATTTGTAATAAAAATTAGCTTTAACTATTTTTTTTTTTCACAAAATGGACTTGCCCCACTTTCAAAATCAACGGCTCATATATTTGACTAATTTTTGGAAAATAAATTATTCCGAGAAAATCTTTTTAAGATAGTTTATTCGAACGACAATTAGATACTGGATTTCTCGGATGTAAAGTTCGAATCGAAAAAATAATTAATATTTAGCTTTTATTTTGAATATTCTTCCCGTAAATTAGAGGAAATTAGGTTTACTGGAATTTTTGAAGAACGTCGACTTAATTTTCGTTGGTTCGATATTTATGGAAATCTTTTCTTGGAACGAATTTCCACCATGATATTTAGAAAAGTTCGATTGTTGGAAGGAATAGAAATAATTTAACCCGAGAAATAAATTAGCCATTTAACGAATTAAAAACGCCAATCTTTTCGGAAGTTAAATTCATTGCTGTTTTAATTTATCACGAGACGAATGAAATTATTTTGGCAAAACTTGGCGTTAAACAATTGTATCTGCGTATGGTAGTCGTCGATATTTTCTTGGGTAAGGAAGGGAAAGACATTTCCAGGTCTTCACAGTTTTTATCTGCTGCATTGTTTTAGAATTTCATTTATGCGACTCAACCTGAAGCTGTCGGCACAAAACTACTGTGGCGTATTACCGTGCGCATTTCCAAATGTCGGGAGCAATTATCGAAGTAATGTATCCGGACCGTTGGAAGCTTTTGCCATGTATTGGCATCTACGATAATTCCAAATTGCTACAAAGACGACGCACGTCCACTGGCCTTTTGCAATTATCCAAATATATATATAATTCTGTCGTTTCGTTTATGCGATTTAAAAAAGTAATTAGGAGCGGTAACTGTTACGATTGAACTTTCGTATAAGCGATCGCTTTGCAAAACGTGGACAGTCGGTTGCATTACACGTAAAATGTCCCGCTAGGGAATACAAAACGCCTTTATACCTTCGCCGTTTTTTATTTTCCAGAACCGGCATAGGTAAAAAAAAATTTGCATTTTACGATGGATCTCGTTCCGAGTACGTCCTTCCCGCTATATTCGTGCCGTACTGCTAACAGTCGACTGGTAGTTGCAGAAACCGTTCAGTCTTCGCTCATTTTAACATTTCCCAATAAAGGCAAGTAATAAGGACGGCTTGGTTTGGCTTTCCGAATTTTATTAGGCCTGCGTATAAATTAAACTTCGTTAAATACGAAGTGTTCCCAAAAGAAAAAAGAGATTTGTAGGGGTTTTCTATTTTTTTCCAAAGCGGTGCCGTGGCCGAATAAGTAAGGTGTCGTCCTACCACTCGGGGGACCGGACGGGTGAAAACGCAAAGTTGTCTGAGTGGTTTCGCCCTGAAGAAATCGGGAACTTATTGCTGAAAAGAAGAATGAAAAAGAAGTTTTCGGAACCGGTCAACGGCACATGCGCAGAAAGATTGGTTCGGAAGTGTTGCTAATTTCAGAGAAAATATTTTAAGATAAATTCGCCCGTCTTTGCCTCATTTAATTCCATCGAACCGTCGGTCGGCGTTCGTTTTTTTAAGTTAAACGTACGAAATTTATATTTCCCTACGTATAAAAATAGTCCTATGTTTGATTTATCTTTGTGGTAGGGATGTCTTTTGGATCTTTTTGTGTAAAGAGCATTTTTGTTGACTAAGAATCTTCAGGTGCCATAACATTTTGAAATGGATATTTGTTATAAAACAAATGTAATATATTTTATGAAATTTTATCCAATTTTTGTTATGTAATCTTCATATATATTAAACTATAAAAACGTTTTATAAAATATTTTGGACTCGTGTGTTGTTATTAGTCCGCAATTTATCTTCGAATTAGTGAAATGGGTTATTTTTTGGCTATTGAATAGTTTATTGGTTCTTGCACGATACTAAGAGTAATAAAATTCTGTTTTATGAATTTATACGTAAAACGGCGTGTGCCATCCTCGTAAAGACCATCCGTCGCTTCGACTAGCACCGGGCTTATCGCAACCAAACTTGGTATAAAACTGTTCTGTGTGTGGGTTCAATTTTCGGAAAAAAATTTACGTCACAATTTATCTGCTGGAGCGAACGTTCGCTCTTACGTTTTACCTACATTTCTGAACGAGGTTAATTAAGAAAGGCGTTGTCACCAGAACGGATGAACTATGGCGATGCTCGCCGCCCGGTGGAGCAGTACCCGTTAAATTCTTTTGTTCGCAAAACGACAAACGCCGAAAGTAACCGTGGTGACGCATAAAAGGTTTACAAAGATCCTACCACCTTCGACAATCTCGGAAAAATTATTTTGTGTTCCGAAGAGACTGGAACTTTCGTTTCCAAATGGGACACTGGGATTTATTTTCATTCACTATATATTATATTAACGTAAAATATTTTACTTCGCCTGGCACGGCTAGGCACGACCAGCCAGAAAATACAATAATGCAATTTTTAATTTAAAATATATGCTCTCTACTTCAAATTACTACTGTATTGTCTTCCCCCTGTACAATCATACTTTTCCGTTAACAATGGAGTCGTGCCGGTCAACTGTCTAACTTCTTTGGGGGAAATATTTTTGAACTGAAATAACATTACTTCCGGTTTGTTGTCGGAAATTTGTCTATAATTTAAAAAATTGATTTCTTATTGCTGTGAGAAATGTTTCTAAATTATTTAATTATAATATACTAGCAGACCCCGCCACGCGTTGTGGCTCAAAATGTATCTATTATAAATGTATAACACTTCCCCCGTGGGGGATTTTTCGAAAAATCCCTTCTTAGTGTACATTCTCTTGACGTACTCTATTAAAACGCAATTTAAAACGCAAAAAACCGCATCTAAAATAGTATAATAGAAGCCAAGTTCTTCACGGTAAGCCTTATTCCTGCCTCTCTCCCCCGCGGGGGGAATATCGAAAAATACCCTTTTAGTGTATATTCTGTTGACGTACCCTATTAAAACGCAAAAACCGCATCTAAAATAGTATAAATAGAAGCAGAGTTCTTTATGGTAAGCCTTAGGCTGTGTACACACTAGGCGTTTTTAAACGCGTCGAACGCTGAGCTAACGCGCGTTAGCTCGGCGTTCGACGAGCGTTTAGCGGAGCGTGCGCACTGGCTCGGTTTGGAAATGGATGTGGAAGTGATTGCTTGTGTGTGGCTCCTCTATCGTCGCTATAAAAGACGACGGCAGAGGCAAAGAGAATTTTGGGTGCACCCAATATTACGAGATAGACTGACGCATGAAATGTTTGCGACGTTGTATCCAAAACTAAGACAAAATAAATTCAAGTTTTTTAATTCTTTTAAAATATCTATAAAATCCTTTGACGATGGTTGGTCTCTTTTAGATTTCATCAATAAATAGAT